CACTAAGACGGATCGTAAATTACGCCAATATTTCCGCGAAATCCTAACAAGATTATAAACCAGATTGTAGCGGTCTATGCGGCGCGGCGGCTGCGGCCGTACCGTGCTCCCTCTCTTCCTCCCGGAAACCTTTCTTAATCTTCGAGCCTCTCGACCGGAGAGCCGGAGTGAGAACTCGAGTGATGCGGAGAAAAAAGAAGGGTGAAGAGAAAGAAAAAGAGAGAGAGAGAGAGAGAGAGAGGGGTAAACAGGGAGGAGATCTATTTATAATGCGTTTGCGTCTTTGCAGGGGCCCAGCCGGTGAAGGCAGTAAATGTCACGTGTATTTCATATGAAACTCCACCCCCTCCCAGCTATTCCTCGCAATGCCAATCTCTTTTGCCGGTCTGATAATGCCAAGCGCTAACAAAGTTAACTCGCGCGAGGCTCTCCCGTCTCCAGAAATTGTCCCTCCTTCTCCTTCGCCCCTTCTTGACCTCCCCTCTTCTCGCGCCGGGTTTTGCATTTCGTTTCTCGACCTCTACGTCGAAGGTCGAATCCTTATTCTTTTCAGAAACGGGATGCGGATGTTCATAGGCCACAGGTAGCTTTTACAAAAGATATCTTGCTGGATTATTATTTGATTGCCAAGCCGTAGACGGCAAGACGACACGCATGACAGCGAAACCTCAAATTAGATGGTAAAGCGCACTCGCGGTACAAAGGTACCGCGTCCACCTTCGAAAATTTCGAAAAATTTGAAAAGCTTGATCAGGGGATAATCGAAGGATACACGTATCCATCGACATAGATTCCTTAATCTTCATCAAAAAATATTTTTTAATGCGCTTAGGAAAAGAAAGGGTCGCACGGGTTGGAACTTAAGATTAACCCTTAACCTTGACGGGAAAGTGACTGGCAAAAGAGGCGCGCGCGATCTCACAGGGATATATCCCGTCGACGGCTTATTATTCGATAGATTCTCCGGGGCCGTTACGCGAGATTCCGGGAAAAGCCATTTCGCGCGTCTAAAACCCCCTTTAAGCACGGGAAGGAGATGGAGGGAAGCGGCCGGCACATTGGCAGGGGACGAGGTGTATGCGTGTGTTAATAAAGGCCTCCGACGTAGCCGATCGTTATTAGATCGGACACTCCCTCGACCCCGCCGCGCCTGTTCGCCCCTCGCAATAACCCATAAAACGAAACATTTTGTTTCGTATGTCAATTACCCCCACTACACCTTCGCGAGGGTATACTCGACAAATATGGTACCAAGACGCGCGCATTCGCCCGTGGGATTTCTCGGCTCGGTCTCGTGTCTCCTCTCCTCTCTCTCCTAAAAGAAACATTATATCGAAACCGAACGGTGGCACTTGAGTTTCCTAAAAAAATTATCTTAGTTTATAGCTCGTAATTTCACCGCTTTGTCGTTTGAAGCTAAAACAAGCGGTCTTGGTCCCGAGCGACGTTTGTCCAATGCGCCTTCGTTTGATTCTATCGTGATACCGCAGAAAATACAAAATAATCTTGTCGCTGTCGTCTGCGGGGAACGAAGGTTTATCGGATGGTACGCGCTGGGTGTGCGTGATTTTTATCATAAAATCTCTCGCACGCTTTTTTTTCCACGAGGAACGCCCGACGATACCGCGTAACGCCTGTACGCGAAGCGAATGGCTACTTTGGCTCGTTGAAAGCCAACGTGCGATGGCCACTGTTGCTCGTCGCGGTGCTACTTCGCCACCACTACTTGGACGAATCCGCGGTATGGCGCGGCACGGCGCGACGGCGGCCGTTATAAAAATAACTGCTGATTGGACGCCCTACCAAGAAAAGTCGTAATCGCATCCTGAAACGTTCCCTTCCTCCTCTCTGTCTCTCTTTCTCGCTCTTTCTCTTCTTTTCTCTCTTTGTCCGTCCCTCTTCCTTTCTCTTATTCTCCTCTCTTATTCTTTCTCTTTCCCTCGCTATTTTATCTTCCTGAGCATTCACTCCCGCTGTTTTGTATCGTCCCTCCCTTTCTCGTCAATCTCGTGTCGAGGAATATTATATCGCGTAAGAAGGATAAACACAACTTCGCGAATCCTATTCTGCCTCTTTACGATTTTATGAAGATTCGATATAAGGTGAAGTAACATGATTTTGATGCGTTCTTTTTTTACTTTATTCTTTTACTTTAATCGCTCATTGAGAAATTATTTTTAATATTGACCTTTATGGTTTATCCCAGACAGCACGTAAAAGACGCCGTAAAGACGTCTTTAAAATGTCTTTTAGACACATATATGTCTAAAAGTTATCTTAAAGATGTCTTTACGCTGTCTTTTAAACATGCATGCTGGTCTGGGATCTCGAGGAAGCTCGACGCGTTCTTCATCAGAATATTTTATCAAAAAAAATTTAACAAAGCACACACACGCATTCTAGCTCGCATAGGTTATCGGCTGCTCAACGCATCGCCGCCGCCATCGATTGCATTTTCACCGGAGGAGCCTCGCGCAATACACAAGGGACGAGAGGGACTGGCTCTATCGGTCGCCATGTTGCGCAGCTTTTATCGCCGCGCCCTACATAGGAACATTAAGCGCGGGTTGCCGGGTTGCGCGTATATCAACAATAATTGCAGGGCCAATAATAAACCCGAAGGGAGCACGCTCGATAGCCCGAAATTGCTGGTTCCCCTACCCGGAGGAGCGCGGTTTTATTGCCTCCTCTCGTCGGTCAGAAATGGCGGCAGCCCCCTTCATCGTTCTCGATGGCGGATAAACGATCCTGCGATACGGCGCCGCGCCGCGCCAAGCCGCGCCAAGCCGCGCCAAGCCGCGCTACGCCGAGCCGAGGCCGAGAGCCGCGAACCCGCGCTTCTCCTTCTCATTGTCCGTATCTTGCGTCTGTGTTTGTCTGCGCGCGCGTTCGTGGTAAACGTGTACACCGAGGCATCTCGTACAGAATCGTTCGCGAGCTCGTAAAGAGCCGCAAAAGCGGGCTTCGCACGCGCGATAGTCGCGAGTATTGCCCTTGTTAACGCCCCGTTAACTCGAGCCTCTGGACAAACTCGTAAAATTCGTCGGCTCCGTGGAAAGCGGCGACCACCGCGCGGCGGCGAAGGAGTCATCGGGGAATTTCGAGCCTCGGAGTCGAGCCTCGCCTACGGCCTACGACGAGATATAAAAATCAAACGTATAAAAAAAATGTATAAAAGATTGAATTACCGATGCGCTTGATGACGTAAGGGAGTATTAAATATAATAACGACCGAAGTTGGAAATTATATATTTATATTTTTATCTCCGCGACAGATAAAATGCGCTTTTAACGTTTCGGGGCATTACTCCCCAGGTTCTAGCTGTTTCGTGAAAGATTTTCAATCGTTCGGTCATTTCAGACACGTCGCTCTCGGGCGCGCATTTATGCGCGACTCTAAACCTCAGATTACACCAACTCGAAAGCTCGTAAAGGTGTGCGTTTACGTTTACGTAGTTTAAGCGCACGATAGTCGCGAGCAGCTCGACTGCTGCTCTTGTTAACACTCCGTTAAGTCGTTGCTCGGGCAACCTCGTAAAATTCGATGGCCTGGCTACCATAGTAGGCGGCGCGGTAATACGCGTACGAATTAGCCGAAGAATTTCTTCGTATCTGGCTGAATGTCGTCGAGACGAGAGGAATATTACTCGCGATATTACGTGTCAACGTGTGGCTTTCACGTGTGGCGTTGTATAATTCCGAGCGCGTAGCACCGCTCGTGTTATATTCCACAAAGGCGCGTCTTTCTCTAAAACGACTCAATTAATTTTTAACATTGGATACACTGTTAAATATTAAAGGATGAAATTTAAATCAATTCCTTCAGTTAAATAGCATTTTGTTATTTTTGACCATCATGTATGTCGAAATTTGTTATTTTAACACAAAACAGTGTTATTTTAACTCCGTTGGTTTAATTAAATTAACAACATATTGAGTAGGATCAGTGGCGACCTCTATAGAAATGATTAAAAATAACTCAAATTGAATATAATTTGACACTACAAATTTAACAGTGTAAGGGTCGGTTTCACCATCTGCGATTAGTTTAATCGGCCGATTATTTAGAACTGACCAATCGCATATGTCGTTAAGCAGATTGACCAATCATGGTTGGCACTTAATCGGCCGATTAAACTAATCGGAGATGGTGAAACCGGCTCTAAGATGACCATTATATCGGACAAATATTACGGACAAAAGCAGAACTTGTTGCCAATTTCTGTCAGAATTCGCGAATACGAGTGTTATTTGCATCGTCGTTTTATCGCGCGGGAGCTCATAAAAGAACTGCCCGCGAAGCAGCCAATCGATAACTTTTAATGCAACCGTTTCGATACCTTATCGAATTTTCGACTCCGCGCATTCGTTTTCTACCTTTAATCCGCTATACTTCTCTTCTCTCTTTCTCTCCGCGCTCTTTATTTCTTATATCCGACGCGATGCACCCTAAGGAAGATCGTAAAAGACTGCAGCACTCGCGTGATTGTTGGGAATTCGTTATTGCTCTTGTTAACGCCCCACGCTGGATATCTCTGGACAAACCTCGTAAAATCCGAGCGGCTTTACGCTAGTCGTACTTTAAGACGATCACGAAATCTGCCTCGGTTGATCACGCAATGGGTAAAGGATGGTTTGCGTCACCTATAGTCTGACTACGTCAGCCGTTCATTGATTTTGCGAAATCCCGAGGTGGTCTTGGGAAATCCCTTGTGATATATTTAAATCTCCCGTGAAATCTCTGTACATTTCCATTCGTCCATTCGTTAATATCGTCGTTTTTCTTCGGACACGTTACACAAAGAACGTATTTCATGGATTAACTATATAATACATAATACCAAGACAATTTTATCGTTGAGAGAATCACAGAAAAATAAAACATTGTACAATTTTTATGTATTTAATGCATTTCACGTGTTGCGCAAATTGAAGGTTTTATTCCAAAGTTTCGATATTAAACATGTATATGTAAATTGAAAATTATTTTTATTTTACAGGAACGCCCATCAGCCGACTTCCCATCATGGCAAAATCCGTATTGGATCTGTTCGAGCTTTACAAGTTGGTGGTACAGCGAGGTGGATTGGTCGAGGTAATCAACAAGAAGCTGTGGCAGGAAATCATCAAAGGTCTCAAGCTGCCAGCGAGCATCACTTCCGCCGCGTTTACTTTGCGAACTCAGTAAGTAGATCGTGAAGTTTCTCATCCGGGACCCCGGTCTTTGCCTATAAAGGAACATAATGCCCGGGGCCCGTCGTGTAATTCGCATACAATAAGTCTCAGCCGACGGTGGAGTCATCCGAGCGTGAAATCTGCGGCAATGACTAAGAGCGTCGTGACTTTTACGCGCGTCTCGTCAAGATCATCGTGCTCGATAGAGCTATCCGCGCCGTGCGAGATACCCGCTTTTGATAGCGAATCGACTATTCGCGCATATTTGCATCGTTCAGTCGTGTTGGATTCGTTTCTCCGCCTTTCTGCGTTTCGCTTAATGAATATCTCTGTACCCAGAACGCAATGTCCCAGATCGAGACTTAAGACGTCTTAAAGACATTATTAAGACGTCTTTAAGACGTCTTATGTCCCGATTTGGGACATGCGTGTTATCTGGGTAATTGATCCGCCTATCAAAGCCGCGTTAAAGTCCAATTAAATTAAGACGGATTACAGTCTTTAGTATATTAGCTGATAAAATACGACAAATAAAACCTCCTGATGGAGAGAGCAGAGATGTCGCGCGGGTCTGCAAGCGTGTTATTACGCGTTCCCTGTCGACGACGAGGAGATAAAAGAACGTTAGGGTGACGAGTCGGAGGCGTGACGTACAGGTGCATCGTCTTAAGCCGACGTGTCGTCTACGTCTCGGATCCCCCGTGCGATCCCTCACGAGCCGGAGGACACCTCGCGGGGCGAGTTGTGACAACCTGGAACCGTTGGCACGATATATATTCGTTTATATAATACCGGGCATATCCAGCGCGACGACGAAGATTTATCTGCCGTTCGCGATGTCTCGTTTCCCCGCGCGAGGGAGACGGGAAAGGATGAGGGGGAGTTTCTAAATAGAGATTCGTCGGCGGGATTCGGTGGAGACGACGGCCGCGGCGCGAGGCATCCCGCTTATCCCGCGCGGTCGGACGCGCGACGAAGAAGAGGGAAGTCGCGCGGGGAATGGAAAAGAGAGAAGGAACGCGAAAATGCGCGCGCGCGCGGCCAGGCCGGTAGAAGAGGGATGGATGAACGCCGACACATTATAAGTGCGGTCTAATATGAATTACACGGGCGCGATGCTAGGGGTGTGCGCTCGTGAAAATAACTCCGCGCGCGCAACGCGCTTTGTGTGCACGACGGAACGTCGGCGTCGTGTCGCGTCGCGCCGCCTCGCCTCGCCTCGTCTCGCTTCGCCCCGCCGCGGTCGGCGCATCCATCATTCCGGCAACCGGCTATCTTTCCTCGGCGATATGTACGCGAGATAGAGGAGAAAATACGAAAATACGGCCTGGCCCGAACAAAATCTGCTCGCGACAGCATTCATCTGGCGAGAATCGGTGTTGATTAACTTGAGGCCACGACGTCCAACTGTCTCTCCGTCTCTTTTTAGGAGCTCGAGCTAATTATATCCATTCATCGTATGGGGAAAACCCATTATACCTTTTGGGGAAAAAATATGAATGAAATTTATATTAATAGGGTGATCTAGAATTAATTATTTTACGACTTTTGCGTCTATAAAGTTGTAGATTGATTTCATTTAAAATAAACTTCCCTAGACAGCACGCATGTCCAAAATCGGGACATAAGACGTCTTATGTCCCTGTCTGGGCCGAAGAATGCATCTTGTATCTGTGAAAAACGTTTTTAAATTTTTATTACAATGCTTATGAACATTCAAACGCATTGTTCTTAGATTCCATTGCCCCGTGAAAAGACATACACTTAACGTGAATAATTTGCTGATAGGTATATGAAGTATCTCTATCCATACGAGAGAGATAAGGAAGCGCTGTCGACCCAAGAACAGCTCCAGACAGCGATTGAGACGAATCGTCGTGAGAGCCGCAGGAACAATTACAATTACGGTAACAACGAAAGTCTAGTGACACGCAATCAGCACAATTCGCTGCCGCAGAATCCAATGCCGTTGCCGATCTCCATCGCCCAAATGGCGGTGGCTGCGAACGAAGCGTCGCAGCATCACGTCGTGAATGGACATCCGCATGCTGCGCAACACCATCCGCACGCTCCGCCGCATCTTCCACCAAACCTGTCAAGTAGTCAACGTAAGTGTCCTTTTGTCTTTTTTCGAAGATGGAACTTGTTCGCACGTGCGAATTTCGTTGGATCAGCCCTTAAAGGTTACACTTCAAATCTCAACCACTTGAAGCTATACCCTTAAAGGCTACACGTCAAATCTCAACACACTGTCTATATATGAACCTCGCAACCTTGATCGCGTATATATAACTCTGGGTTTAATCAATCAAATTTAAAGAAGTTATATATGAAATAGGGGTAGAAAAGACTGAAGAATATAACAGGATTAGAAAAATTGCCATTAATTAATATTAAATTACCCAAAAATAAAAATTTTTAGATTCATATATGGACCTAGTAGCCTTTAAGGGGATGCTGGAGCCGTCTGTTTTACCGGCATTTTTTGTCGGCACGTAGCGTCGTATTAATTTGACAGAATTAAAAATCCTTCTCCAGAATTGCAGTACATACATTAATGATTCGGGGAAACTCCGATTTTATATAGAAAACGAGAAAAAATTACGGAAGTACAGATTTCCTTATCCTACTCTTATCCCAATATGGCGTCTCGAGTTGCGGCGAGCTGTCAGCTCGTCACAAGATGTATTTCATATAAGAGATATACCATTAGTACGAACGCGAAAACAAGTTTCCCCGAATTGCACAACAAGAAAAACATCGATAAACCCCCCAAATCAAGATTTGGAAGCGTAATATAAAAGTATAATGTCGGTGTGCATCGTGCGTATGTGTGCGTGCAATGTAGCGTGCTATCCTTGTCTATATCTTTGTCTATACAAGGACAGATATAGTTCGCCGGTCTTCTTTACCGACGCCGATCGAGTTCGGCTACGGCTCCAGCATCCCCTTAAGGATTAAAATTTGATTTCCGTTATCGGTACACATCGGGTAGGTATGTTTGGCATTGCTGCCGCTTTATTGGCGTATAGTTAATAGCTCCGACTGTCTACGATACTTTTCCAAGTGACAGACGCAATTCACAACGTCGTAATCAGAAATAGAAAAAGAAAAAGAGGCGGAGAAAAAAGCAAAAATGAGAGACTTCCCGACGGTAGGGAAGATATCGAGGGGGGGGGGGGGGAACGGGATAGAAAAAACGGAGGAAGGAAACGAGAGGAGGTAGAGCACACACACACGAGTTTATTTTAAATCGGTAGGTAGTGCTTCGGGCCTCCCCGGAGATGATGATGCGAGAGCGAAGGAGGCATAATTGATTGTACGATCCTCCGGAAGACAGGCGTTAACGGATGGCTCTCGCTAACGAGCATTCCTATTTCCCTACCCCCTTTCCTTCTCTCTTTCCACCTCGTCGCTGCGCCCGACAACGATCTGGGTAACGTCGCGCGCTTTGATCGCACTCGTAGCTCTCCTTCGATCGTTTCCTCGTGCGACCGGATACTTATTACTGCTTTACCGCGGCATGAAAAATCATAGCAGCAACAAAAATTCAGAGGTCAAGATATCGTGATATCTTTGGGTATTCGACGATCCATCTATCACAGACATTGCATTTTAATATAACATAAGTTTGTAGATCAACTCGAAAGTTCATTAATATGATTTTAACGAATATCGAAACTTGAGTTTCTCGGTGACGAAACATTGACTTACAAAAACAAGTTTTTCATCGTTTTATAGCTTACAGTTATTCGGTAGAATAATGAAGTAAGCGGAGCTGCTTTAATTTAGAAGATGAGATTGAGCTGTCAGTTAAAGACGCCTGTGAAATTCGTTTTATAATATATATATGTTTCAGAATAACACCGAAATCCAAATCAGACAATTTATGACATTTCAAATAATCAAGAATATTTATCAACGTAAGACGTTCAATGAATTATTGCAATAATGTTTGCAACCCTATCCGACATCGTCGCTTTTATGTTATTATTTTAAGTTTTATAACTCTAAAAGATAACTATTTTTGATTTCATATATTTTCAAAAGTAATTTGTAGAGTTCGGAAGTTGATGAGGCTTCATAGTGACTTATTTGTCTTTTAGTCTTTTATGCGAATGGAGATGCATTGCTCATTTGACAACGCCAAAAATAAAGCAACAAAAAGATTTTTAATTCAAAATGCATAGAAACAATTGTGTCAATTGTCTCGACACAAAAATTGGAAAGTTTTATGAACTCAGATTTTTTTTATTTGTTTCATATATGTTTAATTGCATTTCTTACGAGTTTCTGATGAATTTCCTTGTTCCTTTCAAATAATACTTCGATTTCCTGTTTTTCAAAACTCAGCAGCAAAATAAAAATTTTTCTGTTTGGTTATTTTTCATCTTAGAATAATTATCATAATTTTTATAATATTACAAATTATTTTAATATTATTCTATATAAATAAGACTATAAACTCGTAAAGAGAAGAGAATGATCATCAAATTATATGAGTTTTATTCATCTTATATATACATATGTTTAGGATTATCGATCATTCTTCATAATTATCCCATCATTATAAGTCAAGATGGTAAACTATTGAAAACGCGTAACTATAAGCACGCCGCTCCAGCTCTTTATCTTTCTAATTTAGTTATCATATTTTACCTCTAATGTCGAACACGTACACAGTTTCAGAGTACATGATGAGGCTACTGAGAGACAGAAGCACAATTCCCAATAATCCGATGATCCAAGGTAGCACATCGACACCACCGCCGACAACGGCGGAGGGAATTAAATCCGGACTGCAATTCTGGAATATATACAGTCAAGCCAATAGTAATATCTATCCAGCGATGGGACAGCCAGCCTTCTCTCCAACGTCGTCCCACTCACCATTGGTACCGGCAAATAGCCCCGAACAGAGAGAGGCCTTGGATCTCGCAAACTCCGGAAACAGGTAAATAAGAGCTCCCGGCTGCTTTAATGGACAGGCGGGAAGGAAGTGTATAGTTTAATGATAAAAATCTTTCGAATAGGTTGGATTCGATATCCTCTCCAAACGCTAGTAGATCCGTGAGTTCGCCACCGGAAGTTTCGAATCCAGAAGTGAAGAGAAGTCACGAGGCTGCTGAACTCTTATCTCCGTCTATTAAAAGAATGATGTTATCTGATGAGGAGGGAAATAATATACACTCCCTGCGCATTAGACAGCAGGTTAGCACACGAGGTGAGTCTAGGTTTAGAATTAATAAATTCTAAATTTACTATGATACAGACACGGTAATGAGATAAAATTTCTTTTATCGAAATTATAATTTTCTTTTAACCTTTCTGAACTCACCCTATTTTCTATGACACATAGACTCACCGACTTATATAATAAAAATATAATACATTAAGTTTGTTTTTAGCTAAAATTTGATTTCTTGTTAAAGTTGGGGATGTCTCCTATGGAAAAAAAATAGTGAATAAAATCAATCTTTATTTCTGATAATGTGCTTTGAAGCTAACATGGTTTTGTGTTTCGTAGGTCTGAGAGACCGTAGGGTGAGTTCAGGAAGGTTGAGGAGATTAAATTTACATTATTCGTAAAGGGAAAAAACTATTTATTAAAATAATTTTTCTTTCTTTTTTAGAAAGTGGACGAAGAGAACTAGAAATTAGTGTAAATATTGATGGTATTTTGTATGAAGGTGTCCTGTCAGTTAAACGTAGTGAGAGTAATAATGAGAGCAGTAGTACTCCGTCAAGCCCTAATAATAATGATAAACGGGCACAAAATAACGAATCGTGAACGCTTTGAAGACACGTGATTTGATACGAAACGAATTAGCCTCGGAGAGTCTAATCAATAATTCCGCTTTCCAAACGAGACATTCGAGCAGACATTGTGAATATTTAATTTAAAAATAAAAAGTTACTTCCTTCTTTTATTTCCTTCTTTTAAATACAGGATAAAACTTTCCAGCATTTATATATTAAAACATTTTATCCTGTTTTTTAATGTTTCTTTACAAGTTTCTTTGTGAAAGGTTTATTAGAGGAATTAGCGATTCTTTTCAAACATGAAAACGCAACTGCGTTTTAATTGGAAACTAAAGAAATCAACTTTCCGTTTGCTTGCAGTGTAATGTTGCAAACTTTCTTATTACTTTGGGTATTACCAAGTACTTAAAGTTTTATTAAAAGTTGTCTATATTGTCTATCCGAATATCTCAAATATGTTTGAAGAGCAGAGTTATTGCGCTCGGAAATTAATAGTTCCGAATAGTTCCGCATATATATGGGGCATTCTATGCCAAATCGACCTGGGTTTGACCCTCGACCTCTCGGATTTGGTCGGCGATTTTTTATGTTATTGTTCCAACTCTAAAATGCACTCAGAATTTTTTTAGATTTTTTTTTTATAAAATTGATTTAGATATAATTTTTTAAACCGACATATTGATGGCCACAATTTAAAAATCTGAAAAAATTCTCAAAAAATTCTGTGTCAGATATCAACATTTTTAAGCTTTGACTACAAGTGGGCCGGCGTTCGCTTCTAATTTTTCCGAGTTTTTTTCAAAAAAAATATTGAAAAAAATTAGAAGTAGACGTCAGTCCACTGTAGGCTGTTGCTTAAACATTTTTATATACAACACAGGATTTTTGAGAATTTTTTCAAATTTTTTTAAAGCATTTTTCCAAAATAAAAAAAATCGCGTCGAAAAAATCTGAAAAAAATTCTCAAAAAAATGCTCAAAAATCCTGTGTTATATACAAAAATGTTCAAGCAACAGCCTACAGTAGATTGAGGTTTGCTTTTAATTTTTTTCAATATTTTTTTCCAAAAAAAAACTTGAAAGAAGCTCGAAAAAATTAGAAGCGAACGCCGGCCCACTTTGGGTCAAGGTTTAAAAATTTTGATATCTGACACAGGATTTTTGAGAATTTTTCCAGATTTTTAAATTGTGGCCATCAATATGTCGGTTTAAAAAATTATAACTAAATCAATTTTATAAAAAAAAAATCTAAAAAAATTCTGAGTGCATTTTAGAGTTGGAACAATAACATAAAAAATCGCCGACCAAATCCGAGAGGTCGGGGGTTAAACCCAAGTCGATTTGGCATAGAATGCCCCATATACATCGCTAAGCAACTTTTTCACATAAGAACTGATAAGAAAAGAAAAACGAAGAAATACGCCATATAATTAGATGCATATAATTAACAAACAAAAGAATAATTGTATCGCTCCGTTGCTATACTCCACTTTTTATTAGAGATAAAAATTTATAAATCATTAGGAGAATTTAGATATTTTTATTGGTATTGAAATATCAGTGATCTTTTTTACCAAAGTGAGATTTGTTTATAAACTGAAATAATTTAGATGTAATGTGATATTAGATACAGAATGTTAAATGTAACAATTATGATGAATGTATGTTTGTAAATGCGTAGAGATTTCGTGACTATTATATACAATATGCACTAATGATGTTTCGTGCGCTTTCATCCGACAGTTAAATTTATTATTACTGTAATATTTAAATAATATACGTTTATGCATAATTTGTTCAATCAATGAGCTCCAACTGATTTACTTACTATGATAGTTCAACTACTTCATGCACGTAAATAAAAAATCAAGGAATTGCATATCATGAAGTATCATTCTTAATGTAAACGCACTGAATACCATTAATGTATACAATTGTACTTTCCAATATATTTTGACTATAGATTTTTATCATTGGAGTATGCGCAAACGGAGTATGAGTACATATCATATTATTCGATATGTTCATTTTAAGTGGAAACCGTGAAAAGAACTATCGATGCAAATTTTGACACAGCTTTACGTAAGTTTGTCAAATTAAGTAACAATTATAATAATTGTTGAAATTGAGTTAGACCTTATTTTAGGATACATTAGATAGATATCGAATGTTGTAAATATGATTTTTCTGCTTTTTTTACATATGCATCTACACATTTTTTTCTATCACATTATTTTAAACAGTATCAACATTTGTATGTTTTCTTACAATCGAAACAAACTAATGGCAAATGGCATAAACATTTTTAATTCTCGGTGCATCCGAATTAAATGATTTTAAATGCAACATTTTCCTGTCTGCTTCATGATAAATTTTGCACTTGTAGATATACGAGGATCAGAAATAGTTTTTGTGCCACCTCTCTGCCATATTCTTTCTCTTCATTAAAGGAATGTGGAACTATTGATTCACAAAATATATTATGTATATATATGTATGTATTTCTTTTTTGTAATAATTTAGATTATTTTATTCTTATTTTAAGATCACTATTATCAAAATCAAACTTTTTTTAGACAATATATTCTTTAAGTAAGTGTATTTCATAAGCTATTTTTCTCGTTGGACGAACGATATTATCGATATAGAAAATGTTATATAATAATACATGTATTTCTTTTTTTTTGTATTTGTATTATTTGCATTACCTAGCTTACATGATTTTATTATATAAAATGTAAATTTTTTAAGCAAAGTATCCTTTGTTTCTCATATTGAATTCTCTAAAGGATATCTTAATCGAAAGCATACGTGTGATGACCGCATCACAAATGATAATGAGTTAGAATAGTTAGATGATTTTTCGACATCGATTCCACAATCTTTCGTTAGATAAACGAACGTTAGAGGACGAATTAGTTGTTTTGATGATAACACAATTTTTTTTTTTTTTTAATTTAGATATTAAAGGACATTCGTTGTTGTTTCATCTTTGGCGCGGAGAAGTTTCAAAAGTAGAGATAATACTTGATAATTATCTAATAAAAATTACGAAATAAATTATGCATCTATATTTCGTAATCTTATAAATCAATCCTATTATAAATTAATATAACAAACATATAACTTTTTTGTTTATACTCCAGTAGATATTTACTTCTCGTGAATCTCTCTCTCTCTCTCTCTCTCTCTCTCTCTCTCTCTCTTCTCTCTCCCTGAATGTAAATAAATGTAATGCATTTTTAGAGTTATTGATTTAGAATGATTAGTTATATTAAAAAATAATTATAAGGGTCAGTAAAAGAAGTAGTTAAAAGATCATGAAGATAGAACATCGAGAAAAATAAAATTCGATGAGAACGACAGAAATACGTGAATCATACACATATGTCGCATTATTCAATGCCTGATGTTTGATATATGTGTGCTAGAGCGTATCTTACAAAAAATAATCTACACAAGATTTATACATGTTAAATACATCAAATAAAACATTCTTAGTCATGGTTATTGAAATATGTATTTAGTGTAGAAGTAATGGTAAAACTATAGCGAGAATCTATCGCAAGGCTGTTTAAGAACTAAGATAGATAAAAATAGATATTATCAAGTCGTACAATTTTTCAGAGACTAAACTCTGAGAGATTCCTAGATTATTGTACAATATTAAAGTTTTACCAAAAAAGACTGTATAGTTTTAAAAATTACATTTTTAGAATTTTAAGTCGTGAAATTATATAAGTGACGTTTTAGTAATTTTAAGTTACGATTATTATTACACGATATCATTGTTCATCACATACATAATATCATTTTGTTTATTACGTTAAGTCGTAGTATATTTTCTATAGCTTTCGGCTAGTAGTAGAAAGCAGTTTGTCTAGCATCTTTCAAATATACTTGACGAAAATGTAAAAAAATTGATAGTTATTTGTAACCACTATCACATGCTGCGCACAAACCCGCGAATTGGAGATCAAGTAATCTGATCTTGCGCAACGTTTTTATAATTTCTTTTTTGTATTTTGTACTCGTGAATTTTGCAACCCTAGCAAGGACTCACTTTAACAGGGTGTTGCTGCTTCAACTTTGATGTTTCGCAGCTGTAGACATATTTGAATGTTACATAATTAGAATATTGAAGTAAAATGTTAAATAATATTGTCTTGGCGAAACGATGTGTAGCCAATTCTGACATTATGTTTATAGTGAAGAGAAGAGAAACGTCCTTCATTTTATCCTCCTCTGCTAAATCCAATGATCGTTATGAAGGATTAGCTTGTACTATATGTTTAGACGTTTCATATGTATATATTCATAGCATCAAAATGACGCTAGTCCAAACGTATTATTAGCGTCAAAATGAAGTTATTCCAAGCGTATATAAGATTTCTATTTGAAATATGCTAGGCGCTTACTGCCATACCAGAGCGAGAAAGGATAGTATAGTTGCTAGAATAGTTATTAATAAGTGTATTATTAGTGTAATACTATTATACTATCGTTATTATAAATATTATCACACTGTCACACATTATGAATTGTTATAATGTGAATAATAATAACGAATAATTAAAATAATATTTTATCACATTTTTATTACTTTCCATTTTGCATGTTGAAAACTAATATATTACATATTACATATCAATTTCAGAAGTTAACATTGACTATTAGAAATATTACTGAAATATCAATGCAAAATCAATTCTCGCCTCGTATTGGAATATTTCTTTCTAATAACTTTTACGATTTTTTTCAGCGTCTCCAAAGACGCGTAATCAAATTCGTTTAATTGTTAACGCGTATTGTTAATCTAATTTTAAAACATTTCATTAATTAATAATTATATTATTACATTTATTATAATTATGCGAATTTAACCAGTTCATACGCTAAAGAAGATGACATATTGCGATCATTCGTATTGTTTCCTTCGTAATAGCGAACTACGTCATAAATTAATTTATTAAGTAAATTAACAGACTCAAATAAAACATAACAAATTTTACAAACAAAAGATTTCTTGAATATCGTCTAGTGTTTTACCTTGATATGCGGACGTTCAATTTTCTCTTCTTTTCTTGATTATAATGGCTGCGTTCAGCAGAACGCAACAATTTGCAACCGTTTTATAATTCTCTGCTGAACGATTGTAAGCGCATTCAAAATCTCAACACGTTCACTCTGGTTCACTCAGCGGTTGCCATGGTTTTCAGCAAACTAAAAGTACGCTGTTTATCAAGCAAAACGTTATTATCAGTAAAATGGCTGCTCCTAGTGTATCAACATCACGCAGACTGTATAATTATAAATATACATACAAAAATATTATTTATAACGTCACAAATACAGTGGAAACGCACAGGAAGTTACAAAATGGGGTAAATCTGAAGGAGAGCTCCCTCCTCACCGATTTCGCTGAATTTAGGCTCAATCGACGCGTTTTTGCACAAAACGAACGAATCTGGCAGAAAAAGCTCCGCTCTACCCCGCGAAGCGAGATATTAACTGTTAAAGTTAACGACTATCAGGTTATGAGACCTGTCATACCGACGCAATGTAGCGACCACGAACATGCCCTGCTGCCACATGCGCATGCTCCGTACCCGCACGCGCATGCAAAAGAAGGTCACGTGACAACTGGTCTGCTTGGTAAGTCAGAAGTGTAACATAAATTCGAAATGATATTCTTTTGGCGTATAGATTAGTGACACTTTAAAAGTATTTAAGTGTTTAAAGCGCGTCAACTAAACCTATGTAGGGCACACATATGTGTGTGCCCTGCTTTAACGAAAATCACAACTTCTATAAAGCAGGGCATACACACGTGTGTGTGTGTGTGTGCCCTGCTTTAAAGAAAATCACAACTTCTATAAAAGCAGGACATACACACGTGTGTGTGTGTGTGCCCTGCTTTACGAATATCACAACTTCTATAAAGCAGGGTATACACACGTGTGTGTGCCCTGCTTTAAGGAAAATCACAACTTCTATAGAGCAGAGCATACACACGTGTATGTACCCTGCTTTAAGGAGAATCACAACTTCTATAAAGCAGAGCATACACACGTGTGTCTGTGCCCTGCTTTAACGAAAATCATTAAACAATTAAATACTTTTAAAGCGCGTTACTAATCTACTAGGTTAGTTGACGCGCTTTAAACACTTAAATACTTTTAAAGCGTCACTAATCTATACGCCGAAAGAATATCATTTCGAATTATATGTTACACTTCTGACTTACCAAGCAGACAGTTGTCACGTGACCTTCTTTTGCATGCGCGTGCGGCCACAGGGCATGTTCGTAGTCGCTACATCTCGTCGGTATGACAGGAATCATAACCTGATTACTATCAATTTTAACAGTTAATATCTCGCTTCGCGGGGCAGAGCGGGGCTTTTTTCTGCCAGGTTCGTTCGTTTTGTGCAAAAACGCGTCGATTAAGCCTAAATTCAGCGAAATTGGTGAGGAGGGAGCTCTCCTTCAGATTTACCCATATTTGTTAATCCAAAACATTTATTTCAATAAATAAATTTAGAACAAGATTAGCTACAATCCTGTGAGGCATCTCAAGAAGGTATATCTATATACAATATTCATATGTATAAATCTAAAAATGTACATTATCTATATACAATATCTAAATATGTATCTATATGTATTATAAATCTAAAAATATAATCTAACCTAATTTTTATACTTTTAATGTTATTATATATTTTAAAGAGTACATTACTTTACTTTTATTAACAGGATTACCGAAAAATTTTATTTGGACTCGTGAAGCTACTAAATATTTTTTAGGAAAGTATGCCGAAAGAAAACATGATTTTTGAAATCCGTAAATAAAGAAAAAGAATATATGAGAAGCAATTCAAAAAGATTTTGCGAGTAAAGGCTATAGTTACTGTTGATGCATTAGATAGAAAAATGCGTAATATGAAGCATTTTTTTTTAAACAAAAGATAATAAAAAGAGCACGACAGGACGTGGACGTATACAATGAGAATGGTTCGAATTAATGCATTTTTTTTGAAGATCGTACTATTAATGTGGGCAATACAATATCATCGCGTTACCGTCATCTTCAAATAATTTACCTAAAACTTATTCAAATACGGAAATTATTGATTTAGTTTCTATTATGCCTTTGACAGAACAGCAAAATACATTACCTGAAATTGAGAATACTGCAACTTTATCCACACTAATTACAAGTCAACAAACACCTTCCATTCCTGAAGTTCCATATCCATTTCGAGACCCTCAACGTCTGATGAAAATGAACATTTACACGCAGATTATTCTAATTTATTAATATATAAAAATAATTATTTTGCTATTTAATTGCTTCCTCATAGAGGAAGCTTTGTGATGGTAAAAAAAAATTTTTTCGAGATTTTGAAGAAATAGGTTTAGAATGTTCTAAAATGTCGAAAAATCGTATTAGTAAATAATGTCCGGAAGTATGTATGTATGTGTGTGTGTGTGTGTGTGTGTATATGTACGGATTTTTTGTACACGCATCTACTTCTACAATTTTTTAGACCGGGTTGAAATTTTTCACACAAATAGAGTATCATAGAAAGTATGTTCTCCTCAAATTTTCTTAAAATCGGTTGACCGGTATAGATTTTATTTTTATTTTTATTTTTTTTTTTTTTAGTGTTTTATTCTACAGCTTTCTCAATATTTGAGATAGCGATCCATATCTAATTCTATTACATTTTTCAGTTTTTTCTACCTCTATTTCATATATAATTAATTAAGATTTGGTTAATTAGTTCTGGAGTTACAGACGTTTAAAATTTCGGAAAATCCGTACATAAATATGAAAAAAAAAATTTTCGAGATTTTGATAGAAATAGGTTTAGAAAAAATAAAATAAATAAATTATTAAAAAATTATATATAAAATAGGGGTAGAAAAGACTGAAAAATATAATAAAATTAGAAATAGATCGATATCTCCAAATTTTTTTATCTATGTACATAGTGTACTCATAATCACAATTATGTGTTTAAATTTGAATTTCTTTCATTATATGAAATCTTATTTCCTAAATCAAAATGATTTGGGCAATAATTATTTTAGGCGGAGAGCTGACGACACTTTTGGCCAAGTGATTTTATAAATCACGATTTTCCGTTATAACCTGCGTGGACGACTCTCCTTCGATAATCCGAACACCTGGCTGGCCGTACTTAGGGGGTTTAGAAGTACGCAGGTGAGAAAAAAAACGGATTTTCAAGTCATAGTATAAGTCTTAATTTTTATCGGATATTGATCATTGATCACTCAGGAACATGCAAATAAATTGCCAGTTCGATTGCTCGGGGAAAATTAGTCGCCAGGCTTAATTAAAAATAATTAAAAATAATTATTTTCAAGTCATACTATAAAAACTGGGTTTTTTTTACTAACAAGTATAGTGCTAACACATACCACCCAAAAAAAGCCAAGTAAAAATTTTTGTGGCAACATCTCTATAGTTATTTGTGTAACAAGTGCGGGAAGTTGAGAATTGGACACGAGTGCGGAGTGGACGCACGAGCCGAAGGCGAGTGCGATCACCCGCACGAGTGTCTAATTCTCATCCCGCACGTGTTACACACCCTATTTTATATTACAAAGTGCGTGGAAAGTGGCCCATTATTGCGCGCGCGTCATCTGTGCGACGGATGGCCGATTCCATACACGAGTCAAAACAGTGCGGTAATGTTTACATTAGTAAAGTTACATTACCGCACTGTTTTGACTCGTGTATGGAATTGGCTATTTGTCACACAGATGGCGCGCGCGTAATGGGCCATTTTCCACGCACGTGTGATATAAAAAAAGTTATTGAAAATGCACAAAGCCGGCGGAGGGGTCTGACGGTTATATCCGGCTATTAAGATATTCCCCACTATAACTTTAATTTCGCTATTCTCTTGTTATTACTCTTATTATTTCTCTTATTATTGTTTAACTTTGCTATTTATTTGATACTACAATACTAATTTTTTTTTAACTGTAAATAGTCAAGTATTACGACAACTAATTATTTTTAAACACTTTTAAATTGAGACGCAGATCGTCAAATACGTGCAGGGTATTCGCTCCGACCTAAAATTCTGGATGGCATATTTCCCACGAAGTTAAAAGTCCCATTTATTAGAATACTGAAATATCGTGTTATTAAATATAAATTAAAATGCAACGCAAGCCTCTTTATGAAAAAAATTAAATGTATATGTAAAATTAAATAACTGTAAATGTGTTAAAGACTAGAAGTCGGGTCGATCGATGCGTAATTGGTCTCGAAGCAAAAATTAACGTATTTTTCGCTTTAACTAACTTTTACCCATGAATACATTTTGATACGGTAAGCTATTGCCCGTGGATGACTCACTATTTTCCTTTACTGCAGATGACTTTATGTCGCCGTCAACCACGCTAACGCAAAGTTAAGAATGTAGCCGGCCCTTCTCAATTCGACACTTCAATGTTTTTTCAGAAAAAAAGATAATTGGACTACCACCACTATCTTCACAAAAAACGCAACGCTGCGCCAGCAAAGCCATTTTTCTTATTTTTACATACTATTTATTATTTATCAATTTTTTCATAAATTGATACGATAATGATAGTTAAAATACACGTTTTTAAAAACTCATGGACGCTAAAAACAATTGAGGCCATCATCAGACCCCTCCGCCGCGCGCCGGCTTTGTGCATTTTCAATAATTTTTTTAGAGATGTTGCCACCAAAATTTTTACTTGGCTCTTTTTGGATGGTATGTGTTAGCACTTTACTTGTTAGTAAAAAAAACCCAGCTTTTATAGTATGACTTGAAAATAATTATTTTTAATTATTTTTAATTAAGCCTGGCGACTAATTCCCCCCGAGCAATCAAACTGGCAATTTATTTGCATGTTCCTGAGTGTACAATTATCAATATCCGATAAAAATTAAGACTTATACTATGACTTAAAAATCCGTTTTTTTTCTCACCTGCGTACTTCTAAACCCCCTAAGTACGGTCAGCCAGGTGTTCGGATTATCGAAGGAGAGTCGTCCACGCAGGTTATAACGGAAAATCGTGATTTATAAAATCACTTGGCCAAAAGTGTCGTCAGCTCTTGGACTATTTTTATAAAGATTTTATTCAACGTATACCATTTTGTTATAGTCTTTGTTCACAGTCCCCTGCTCAAAATAGAATTAACAAAAATAATAATAAGAAGCAAAAAGCTCAAAGATCGAAACAATTGTACGACTTAAGGAAAAATCAGATAGAATGTGAAAAGACAAAAATACAAGTGATAAAAGACTTCACTGCTTCTCTTAAAGAAAATAATAACATCCAAACAAAAAGAAACGAATTACTTGAAACTTTAATAGAATTAAAGAGACAAAAATGAAGAAATAGTATGGAATACGAATGGAATAACGCATTTATTCACATATGTACTTATTCATAAGGAAATAAA